AAGAAAGAAAGAAAGAAAGAAAGAAAGAAAGAAAGAAAGAAAGAAAGAAAGAAAGAAAGAAAGAAAGAAAGAGAAAGAAAGAAAGAGAAAGAAAGAGAAAAAAAGAAAGAAAGAAAACTGATGCAATAATAATGACTGTTTTTTAAAAAATCTACAAGATTAGCTAAACAAAAAAAGTGGCTGTCTTCATTCTTGGCTGGTATGAATGTGAATTCAGCAAGTGATCTGATATTATCTTGAACTGTTAAAAAAAATACCTGCTTTGGCCCACCTTTATGAATCTATCCAATAGAAATTAAGGGCTTGTAGTTTATTTAGAATTACTTATAGTGGCAAACCTTGGAGACAACATTAATGTACATCAGTAAAGGGATAGTTTGATAAGTTATGGTATACTCATCATATAAAAATTACACAGTGATTTTTAAATATGTTAGATTTTCCTTCTTTCATGTGCAGAGATCATGCTTAAACTACACAAACCTGACATACTTTAAAGTAAACAAGTGAACCACAGAACAAATACAGAAAAATAAGAATATGCATTAGGAGAAGAATAATGAGGAAAGACAAAAATAATTACCAAATATAAAACCAAAAGCTAAATATATGGGCACACCCATGCATGAGCACATGCACACATGAGCATGAACAAAGTTGTGGGTGGTTCTACGCTGGGCTTTTAATATGACTTGTCTCTGAGAGTTAAGAAAGGAGTTTATAAGAAAGTTATCAATTTTGTCCTTACAAATTCTTTCATTGTTTCTCTTCTTCAAAGGAGCATACATTATTTTGCAATTTTAAAATATTTAATTAAAAAATAATTCATTGGGTACCTGCTATAAATAAGGCTATTCTGCAAATCAGGAATACAGTCATAAAAATTAATAGATTAGACTTAGATAGTACTTCATAATTTGTAAAGTATTTTCATACATATTTGATCCTTACAAGGACCCTGTCAGTGTGGTTGGGCAGAAAATAGTGTTCCTTTTTGAAAATACATCCAGTTAATAAATGGTGGAGCCAGAATTAGCACCAAGGGCTCTGAATCACTACTTCATTCTCTTTCTACAATATCACAGCACCTCCAGTGAACATCCCCAAAGAACAAATTTTATACATGGAGAAACTGAGTCCTAAAATAGTTCATATGTCAAGTCTTTCCAATTCTACTATTTTAGTACTTATCTTAAGCATCATCCTATCTTCTGCAACTAAAATCACTTTAAACACTTCTACAAAAAGAGAAGTTTATAATTAGGATAAAAAGTATGCATGCGAAGAGTCATAACTTGCTTATATCAAAGATATACTTTATGTATAAATGAATATTTAAATGTTGGAGAAAATTATTTTTAACTGAAGTACAATGTTCCTTATTTTATTCATTTGCAACAAGGAGTAATACCCTTTTGAAGAGACGGTGCACAGATAAATTTCTGTGTACTGTTAAAGCTGAGGAAATCCTTAGACATCAAGTATTGAGGAACGCACAGCATATCTTTCAAATAATAAAGATAAAAAGGGAAATGGTAAGCACTGGTAAAGCCAGAAAGGCAAGGGTACAGAAGGAAGTGGAAGTGGTAAGCCGGATGGCTTCATTTTTGCCTTTATTTTTCAGGTGAGGAAAACCTGTCCACGATAAGGGAACTTAACTTACAAATAATGTGGTACAACGGTATGAGGTACCACTTTGTCATAATAATGAGTAAACTGAGGTAGATATATGTAACATTTATCCAGAATGAATCAATTAACATTTTAAAATAGTAATAAGTGAACAGCAGTAGAGGCATATATAATCTCACACGAATCAATTCAGACATCAGAGAGCTTTCGTTGTACATTATGCTAAGCTGCATGAGGTTATCTGATGTCTGTTTTCAGTGTTGATAAATATTGTGATTTTTTAAAACTGGCATCTTTGCAAACAAAGAACACTGCATAACCTGTTCAAAACTTCAGTTGGAAAGGACTGTGCAATAACACTGTATGCTTTCCCTACTTAAGGCTGCATTTTGGTTCAGCCTCTGTCAGTTTGTTTTCAGTTCAGGTTCCCATTTGCCTTTAGTCTCCACAGTAACTAGGCATATTAGGGAGCTCAGACACTTATAAATACCATAAGCCAGCTGTTCTCTTGCCTGTAGGATTTCTGAAAAACTTCCAATGGGAAAAATGGGCTGGAATCCAGAGCCAAAATCCCCAAGTCTGAAATGACAGAAATAGAAACTAAGACAGAACTAGGAGGAAAAGAAAAACAGGAGATTTAGTAATCAGCAACAGTGATTACTAAATCTAGCATCTTTGATTTTTTTCCAGGTGACTGGTACCATTTGACACTTGATACATGAGTTTGGGTATAAACTTTTGTTTATACATCTGTTTTCAGAGATGGATATAACTCACATAAGGCATTTTAAAAGAAGTACATCTGTTGGAGTTGAACATAAAATGCCTTTTGAAAAATAAAAAGGGAGAAATGGTGATCTCATGAATAAGAAAGGAAAGAGTAATTTGCCAAAGGAACATCTGATTAAGCTCCAAAGAATGCAAGAAGATTTGAGATTTTCACATGTGTATAGACAAACTAGTGTGGGCTCTTCACTATAAGAAGAACACATTTAGAGGGATGACTTACCACCAATTCCAAGAAACCCAGTATCATGGCCTGTGGAGCCAGGTAACTAGCTACTGTAGATTTCAAAATTCGGATGGGAACTCTGTAGGTGCCAGTAGCCAAGTGGAAAAGACACAGAAATGTTCATACAGATTTTATAAAAAGTTATTTAGAGATGTCATTTAAAATGCAAGAGCAGTGTGGCCCCGGTGCTCAGCCAGTGAGGAGGTGGCTGCAGTGAGAAGTTCCAAGAAAAAAAAAATGCAAGGAAAAAGGTAAATTTCAACATCTCATGTGCTGAATTCACTGCCGAATTTTTCTTTCTATACGCCTGGAAAAGAAGTTGTAAGGTTTTACAAAAGCATACAAATATTTTGCTAAAACTTTGATATCTATAGAATTGTTGGTTAATTCATACTAAACATATGGCAAGAGCATTAGATACTTATTAAAACTATGGAACATGTAATCAACATCTTTGATTTTAACAGCAAGAGCTGAAACAATCTACACTCTAACCAAATATTCAACACAATTTTACAGTACCTTTTTAGTGCTTATTGTTATAGATGGGAGGGTCCATTCTCCCAAGTTCATTGTTTATTGGGTCCCGGATGTAGTTTGTCACCACCCGAGAGAAGTTGTCCCCTTCAGCTTAAATCTTCTGAGCAGACTCTGTGGCTAGCTAAACCGTTCCGGACTATGGTTGCCATACTAAGAATCTTACAAGGACTCGGGTCGTTGGCCCTGGAGGATAGTGGAGACACTAGAATCTACCCTCTGCCTCTCTTCTCCCTGAGACTGAGTTGTTGGTCAATTCTCTGGCAAGAGACAAGTCTCACTTCTCCTCCAAGTCATTTCTCTTATTCAAGTGAATCTAAGAATGCCTACCTCCTCTGTTGAAAAACAGGGTAGGGAGAACACAAGAGTCAATCTGTCAATAATAATTATTTGTGTTATTATGAGGCTTTAATGTGTTTACATACCTGGCAATTGCAGGTCACCTTACGAGAAAAAGAAGCAAAGTTTGAATTGCTTTGTTTTTTACTGCACTGTTAATTCAATTGCAGATATGAATTAATTCAGTTTTTTTAATTTTATGCTTTAATTACGGAGGCAAGCTATATAAATATGGGTAAAATAACAATCTAATGCAGTTTCCAAATGTGCCATAGACTGGAATTGACAGTTACTGATAAAGTCTATTAAAATAGTCTGATCAGTCTAATTGCCCTAAGTATCATGATCAACATTTAAAAATATATTTTAAAGTTAAGCTTATTAACTATTTCCTATACCCTTTATTGTTCTATAATGACAGAAGCTTTTGTTTGTCTTATCCACTTGCCAGATTAATATTATGTATTCAAGAAATATTTGTTGGGGCACCTGGGTGGCTCAATGAGTTGGGCGTCTGTGCTTGGGTCATGATCCCAGCGTCCTGGGATTGAGCCCCACATTGGGCTGCCTGCTCAGTGGGGAGTCTGCTTCTCCTTCTCCCTATGCCCCTCCCCCCACTCATGCTCTCTCTCACTCCCTCTCAAATAAATAAATAAAATCTTTATTAAAAAAAAGAAATATTTGTTGAATGAATGAAAGAAAGAAAATATGAGTGTGTTCTACAATAAGAGGATAGAACATTGTAATAAAAGCAACTTTTGTGGGGAAAAAAAAGAATGAAATTTATTTTAGCTGGAGGGATGTTTAACAGTAAAGATAGGAAGACAGAAATGCTCATGGTATGTTCAAAAGACCATGATGAGATCAATCTGACTTAAGCAGAAGTTTCTGGAAAAGAGCCTAAGAAGACAGAGTTGAAGAATCAATACAGGGCCAGATTACCAAAGGCTTTGAAAGTTAAATAATTTATTTTTTAAAAAGATTTTATTTATTTATTTGACAGAGAGAGACACAGCAAGAGAGGGAACACAAGCAGGGGGAATGGGAGAAGGAGAAGCAGGCTTCCCGCTGAGCAGAGAGCCCGATGTGGGGCTCAATCCCAGGACCCTGGGATCATGACCTGAGCTGAAGGCAGATGCCTAATAACTGAACCACCCAGGCGCCCCTGAAAGTTAATTTAAATAATCCAGATTGTATTCTGTAGAATTAAGAGTAAAGGAAACATATGGGCCAACAGAAACATCTCCCAGTTTTGGTAAATGATTACTAAATATATAATACTGCTCATGAAGCAGATGAGAAAAATAACTCTTGTGCATAATCCTCACCTTTATTAAACCCTCTAGCTAAATCTGGAGCCACAAATCCAGATTCATAAAAAGCCAAAACCTTTAACAAATTTTCAATATCTTGCAGCAGTAAAGGTAAAACTTTTGGAAAAAAAAAGAAAGAAATGCATCATTAATATTTTCATATCATATTCCATGGTTCACCATATACTTATCAAAGTAGAATCCATCTCCAGGTGGAGTTCAGAAACCTCCACAGGCATTAAAAGTGGGTTATGGTAGGAGAGATGATGGACTCTGAAAAACAAACTGAGGGTTCTAGAGGGGAGGAGGGTAGGGGGATGGGTTAGCCTGGTGATGGGTATTAAAGAGGGCACATTCTGCATGGAGCACTGGGTGTTATGCACAAACAATGAATCATGGAACACTACACCAAAACAAATGATGTAATACATGGTGATTAACATAACAATAAAAATTTTTTTAAAAAGTGGGTTATGGAGTCTGGGGCACACCGGGCTAGGGATGGACCTGGAGATAAGGCATCAGGGAGGGTGTCAGCAGCACAGGCGCAAAAGACAGAGTCTAATATTTACTGAAGGACTGTTATGTGCAAAGCCCTGGGCTTTCAAAACACAACCTCATTAACAGGCATTGGACGAGTTCTAGGCAAGTAGGAACTATGCTACAAGGGTAGGAGTAATGGAGACTCAGACATTTCTACAAGTAAATAATCAAGACTTGAACCAAACAAGTCTCAGATGTATAGTGTGAGAGAAGACCACAATAAAACACTCTCAAGAGAAAATGGGCAGCTACTATCTGCCTACCATTTTTCTTGAGCACAAACTATTGTCCTTCAATTAATTCATCTTTTCAAATAATAATGCACATTTTCCCCAAATTGTCTTATGTCTACATCTGAGGTGACTATTAAATCTTTCAGTCACCCTCAGCCATGTGGCAGTCGTGACACACTGGTCAACTATACATGAGTGAACATAGTTGTTACATGGAAGTTTGACTAGACAATTGGGATTACTTAACAGTTGAGTCAAAAATCATTTAGGAATCAATTTAAAGTAAGAATGTTAGCCATAGTTATAATTCTGTTGATAACTTCCAATAAAATTTTTTATTTTATTTCTAGCACCCACACTGGAAAAATAAGTCACTGGTTGGAAAAATAAACACACTGATCCAATAGCTGAGCATTCTTTTTAGCAATGCTTGTATCAGAATGCTGGTAGAACAGAAGATGAAATTGTGAATTGTAAAGATATTAAGAAGAGCCAAACTCAGAGTGTTTAAAAGTTTTAGAAATGCCTTCATTAATTTATTTTGCTTATATTTTCTTTTAATGCATGCAAATAATGCAAATAATGGATTTTATATATGTATATATATATTTAAAAGAACTCTTTCAATAAGTGTAAAGTGAAATGTCTGAGTGATTACTATTACTATTGAGTTACAGTGCAATTCCTCTTCTTCCCACTATAAATTAAATAATCATAGATTTTTAAATCAGTGGCATTTTAGATTTGATGCAGTTATGTTCCAGGAATTGTGCTAAGAGCTCTATAAGTAAAACTTTACTATATCCTCACATCTTGTCTATTCTATGGTCTATACTATACTCCAGATGTGTAAAATGAACCATACACGCTAAGTCCATTTCCATCATCCTACATACAGTAAATAGCAGTTTCATTAGAAACCATTAACATCAAAAACAGAGATCAGTCTTGAAAATTTCCTGAGCAGACAAAACCAGTTTATTTATTTAAACAAAGCATAATTTAGCTTATTTTGTAAGGTTAACTTAACCTGGGTCATTTCTTGCTTATGTCTCTGAAAATCATAAGCAAAACTTAAACTGTTTCCCAAAATTAATAAGAGATAGCCACTGACCAATTCCCTATCGTTTATGAAAATTCGAATATTATAACCAATTACTGAGAAGAATAGCCACTGCCTTCTCATTATTATAAGCTTCTTTATAACAATCCACCCCTGAGTCTCATTCCATGTTTTGATTTAAGTGATTGTTTATAAACTATCTTTTAGGTGTGTGCACAATAAACTTTCACTAAGTACTACTTCAGTGATTCACTGGTTTTACTTCAGCTATTTCTGAACTTTTTACAAACCCCTATCTGTCTAATTCTGAGATTTGCTCTGAATTTTGATGGCAGTGGATTTCAAACTTCAGTATGTTTACCCATCAACCAGTGAGTCTGGTAAATATTTAGATTTCTGAACTAATTCCTAAGATACTGTGCTTCAATGCGTATGTATAGACTGGAATATGCATTATGAACACACATCTAAATTGATTTTTTAGCAAAAGGTTTACATAACCTCACTAATACTCTTTTCTAATGGTTGATGGTGAAACATAAAAAAAGGAACCTAGTCAGCCAACTTGGGGCATACAGTCAGTATCAGATCACAGTAAGGCAAATTAGAATTTACTCTTCCAAGTTCCCTTGGTGATGATATAAGATAGACACCAGAATCTGGGGGAAAATAGTAAAGGAACATGTAAACACTGAATGGCACCAGCTCTGAAGGTTAACCAGCTTCAGGGGCAGACAGCCAAGCAAGTAACTGTTCAGCAGATACAGGCAGGGAGTACAAATTACTTAACCAAGTCCTCGTGTATCTGAGTTGCAAAGATACTAAGAATAGTAAGTCTCAGAATATTTAGAAATTATCAATTTGTTTTGTTTACATTTATTTTAATGTTTATAAATAATGCAATATGATTACATATATGTGTGTACATACATATATGTTTAAAAAGTTCATTTAATAAGTATAAAACAAAATGTCTACATTTCCAAAGATGGAACTGATGACACTAATTTCCTTCAAAAAGTA